GTAATAAAATGATGGCAAACGAGTGGTGTGTCCTCGAAACTTTAATATTCAGGATACTGTAACACACGAACGTGTGAATCTATCGAGGCTAGCTGTGTGAAAATCTTTCTGCGAATGATAGTAGCTCGAGGGAGTGTCTATCGTCGATTTGTACGAACTTAACTGGAAGAGAAAAATGACGGCGGTCCGTGGTTGGTTTCGAGTGAAGTTTTGGAGGAGCCGGCAGAATTAATTTGGATTAACCTTCGAGGCAATTCGATACCGGTGGCCTTGTACGGCTTATACTATACTCGAACAGGAGTTTGTCGGTCTTAACATTGGGTGTGCCGTCGATAATCCGAGCTAGAGTTGACGCCGTGCTGGTCTCGGCTGTTTATCAACTGTCTCTCCTACGGGAACAGTTAACTTTCTACTCGAGACACTGTGAGCGCCACGTCCGTGTGAAAATTATTTGCAGTGTGCGAACAGTCCTTCCCAAGACGGAGAATATTTTAGATTTTACTGGAGCTTAAAGACGTTTAAGATACCGTTCCGCAATCAGTCGTATACACAAAGACGATTCAACGTTTGCCGATGGAAAACGGTATGATCAAACTGGCTGAGTGCGTACGTGAAATGCAGGGGATAAACAGACGGGGAGAGACGGATGTACGCTTTATTAGTCGCGGTGGGAAGTAAGGCTAGAGTCCCGATGCAAATCTAACTCGAAGCTAACCCAGATTTAGCCTAAACACCGAGGTCGATAGAGATGAGGGGAACGGGGGGTGACCGGGGGGGTGGGGTATCGGATGAATATGCAACGATCCGGAATACGTCTTCGTCCCCTTATGAAATTTCGTTGACAAGTTGGAAATCGTGATTAAGAAGGCCTCGGAAACTTTTGTCGGGGTACGTCGGCTAGTTACTTTGTAATTGATAGCCGGGGTCTCTGGATCTTACTCAGCGCAACAGGCGTAGCAGACCAGACCGGAAGCAGGTCTGCGAGCAATCGCTGCCCAGTCAGATAATCTATCAGATTATGCGGGATAAGTGGAGTTAGGATCGTTTCGCTTAAGAACACTCGCTCGGTCGTTCAACTCGCACTTTGCAATTTTCTTCAAACGTTTCGTACTAATTCAATAACGTAATCCCTTCAGAATCAGTTCAAGATAGAACGTACACACACGACGTAAGAGTTCTGAGTAACAGCTAACAGTGTGCAAACGTGGATCGAATCCACGGTTTGTTTTATACAACAGACCTAATTCCAATATATCTGGATCGAGGTTTCACAGGCTTAATCGAGAGAAAGAGAGAGAGAGAGAGACTGACTGAAAATGAATTTCGAGCTTTCGGCGGATGAATCGATTCAGTTCTATCGAGGGTAAATCGAAGACGTAAGGTGGATCGAGCCGGCAAATCCTGCGGAAAGCAATCGCGATCGGGGCGACGAGGGTCGACCCTTCCGGAGTCACTGCTATAAAAAGTATCGAGCAGCTGCTTTGTAATTACAAAGAGATTGTTTCCCACCCTCGGGATAAACGACGGTGTAGCTCCCTAGGATCCGGGTCCCCCGTGAACGGCTTTAAGGACCTGCAGCTTACTTTTCCGGCTTCGGTATTCATGGATTTCTGAGTCTGTTCATAAATTAATCATTCTCTAAAATGTATCTGCCGATGAAGACCGCGAAAGAACGAATCGACTTTATTGAAACTACTCGCGATTTAACGAATCATACGGCAAAGCATACAGGAAATAATTTGCTATTAGCATTCGATTAAGATGATCGTTGATGACGTCAGTAAAATTTGACGGACGACGAACAGTTGGGAGTGTGCTAAGACTTGTGCAGTGACGTTTGATTCAGAATTCCCACACCAGCCAGGCCTCGATTATCTATGGCAATTTTGTTAAAATTGAATTCCAACAGTTTTACGATCAATAGCTAAACGAACTGTTCGCAGTTCGCGACCGGAGGGTAATAATTATTTGTCTTGGCGGTGGTCGGAGGAAACGACACGTTCCGACAGCGTCCCGCGGCTGAACGTTTCTTTCACGGTATTGGAAATTGAAAATTGATTAGCAAAATAAACTGTTCGCGACCGGAGGCAAATAATTCTCTCCAATAGAATGCAGAATCCTCGCAAAAAGAGCTCCTCTGGCCGAATATAATATTAAATAAGATCACGTTGAGCGAAGAGATTCGAACGTTAAAAATAAAACGAACGAAACAATTGTTCCTCTATTTTTGTTCTCCGAGTGTTTTCATTTAATATCGTATCTGTGGATCGGTTAAAATCGCTCTGTCAGGGGTTGCACACCGTTTATGAAGATCCACCTTGATATAGTCACAGTATCTTTTCCACGCACGTGAGAATCCGAAATATGTCACATACGCCGTTCCATATAATCTTGACCGCAGTATTGATCTCGACGGAAACTGCACGACGGTAGCCGATTCTTTTTTTTCTTCGTACAGATGAAAATTGAAAGATAGCAAGCGACGGCGCGCGCCGGTTCAATTTTCGTTTTGATCGAGCTGGGATTTTCTTTTCGAGTTCTATTCCCCCAGTTAGCGTCCTCGAGAGCCAGATCAAATCCACAGAAATCGTTTCCACGTTTTTCTCGATACCGTTTATTCTGCATATCGGTTGAATTCGAAAAACTTTCGAAGCGGAGGGACGATGTGAAAAATTGAGGTGAGCCAGTGGAAGTTGTTACCAGGCTACTCGTAACACGTTAGCGTTTCCGAGGGGCGGGTCGAATAGTCTCCTCGAAATCGAGCTACGTTTCTCTCGATACTATTTATTATTTACGTCGTCGTCGTCCGAATTCGAGAAACTTTTGAAGAAGAGAGACGAAGTGAAAACTGGAGGAAAACCGAAGTCGTCGTCATCGAGAGCCAAGTTGAATCTGCGGAAATCGAGCCACGCTATTTATCGCGAATATCATTGAAATTCGAAAACCTCCCGAGGAACGAAGCGAAGAACCGAGAAAAGAAGCATAAGTGGTTTACGAGAGCACATATTTAGATTCTGACAAGGAGGAACTTGCATCTGCATTTTATAGCATTCGCTGCACTCCTTCGAGATCGAATCGAATAAACCAAGTTTATGTAAACGAGACTCGACCATTTCCTGTTGGAGCTCCAATCTGAAAATGTATGCCTCTCCTCTCCTCTCCCGATTGCAAACGTCCATACTGTCCGGACTGTCGAGAGAAAGCACAACACTGAAAATCCGTTGAGTTAAAGATTATGCACTCGAATGACAAAAGTTCTTGATCGAAGTCCATTAGCCATGAAAGAGTCTGAGGAATCGAAGCGGTCCGTGGAACTGAAACGAACTGAAAATCCTATTCATGAATTCCGAGGTAGAAAAATAATTCAGCCCTTATTGTAGCTCGGTATGAAAAGCAAACGGCTCGGATATGTAAATGCGGCATGGATGATTAAATTTTATAGAGAATAGCCTCTGAACAAAGTTACGGGAACGAGCCGTGTCTTCTTTCGTCTTCCTCCGCGTCCGTGCGTTTTTCTCTTTCAAAATCTTCGTTTCACAAATTTCACGGTTCCCGTATCGCGGCACACTTGCACGTTTCGCCGGGAAATAGAGTATCCACCGAGAAGACGTATTCATTTTCCATTCCTCGGTACACGTAGCTCGCGTGAGCAACCACCTTTAATATCTCAGTCTGCTTGACAGCTGACTTTTTAAATCGCCGGTTTATCGTTCGTATTGTACGAACGAACGTCGAGCAGGGGAAAATGCGAGGGAAGATCAGTGCAATTAACGCGTTAATGATCAAAGCACTCGAGAACCTGTTGCGATTTTACGCAGCTGGTGATCTTCGTCGAAAACTAGGAGACTCGTTGACAGATCCAAACTGTACGCCGCAAACGAAAAACGTTCCTTATAAACTTTCGAGGTAAAAAATGAGAGAAGCTTCATCCGAAAGAAAGATTGTGATCGTCGTTTCTTTAAACTGACTAAGAAACGTCGAGCCTGACATCGACCTGGCAGATCGAAGTGCCCGATCAGGTCTGCGAGTATCTGGATAAAACTGTAGTAGGCGACGGATTGATCTTGCGATTGAAATTTCCGCCGGGGCAGCGTGCAGAGATCCGTCACGGTTGGCCGCGTGAAAAATATGAATTCGCAGGGAGCCGAAGAAGGGGCTATCAATTACGCGAGGCAAACAAAGCGTCCGTCGTAAGTGAATCGAGAAATAAAGTTTGTTTGCACGATGTAAACGATCACTTTGCGCTCTCCTGCCGTGGAAGCCAATAGGGTGCGCGTTGTCACAACATCGTCATTCGCCACTGGCACGGGGTGCTCGGAAAAAAGAGCGTTGACGGGAGCCGTTAAAAAGTTCAATCGGTGCCCGTCACTGGAGAACAACAACGGCTCTCTCAGGACCTTTTCTCCTTTCGTCTTTTCTATTCCCCGACCCTGTTATCGGTATCTCCTTCCGGGTCGAATTTCACTCGCATTTCGTGGTTCCCGTCGGCCACTTGGTCCTGCTCGAAGACTCAGTACCCCTCGCATTTTATTCTTTTTTTTTTTTTACCCTCCTCGCGACACTGGAGCATCGATTCGAACTGATCGACGACGCTTCTCACGCAGACGCTCGCTTTATCTCGGGAATCCCGGCGTTTTTCACTCGACGCGTTTACTACCGTCCGACGGATGCTCTCTTACGGCCGATTCGGCCAGCTTCCGGCCAGCGTACGGGAATAGAAACGGAGTAACGATTATACAGGGGGTGGAACGAAGAGGGGCAGACATAGATAGACATATACGTATATACGTATGTATACATAAAAATCATGCTTGTATCGTGCTGGTGTTTGGAAATGAATGACACGCGGGTACTGTGGTTACCGAGTAGATCATGCACGAATCGCCGCGGAGTAAAGATCATTTTAGTTCGAGTATGGATACATATAAGCGTGACGAGTTTTCACGATTCCGTGAGGAGCGTGCTGTGATGATGGTTTTCTGGGTAAGTTCGTAGCTCACCTGGGGTAGAATCATGACGTGCGGCAGCTGGCGCGCCTCGCCGCGCACTGACTCTTCCGCACCCCGAGCACAGCCTCCTCTCGCCCCCCCCTCCAACCCTCGTCCAACCCTCGTCCAACCCTCTCTGTCCCTCTCTCTCTCTATCTTTCTCAGCATCCGCCACCCTCTCTTCTACTTACCCTCTCTTAACAGCGTTGCCTCGCAAAAACCAGGTTCGACAACGACTCGCTGCTTTTCGCCGACGATTCTTCTTCCATCTCGCATTTTAGATTATTCCCTCGGCTTATTTATTCCGAGCAGCTGCGCTCTCTCGTTACTTTTGATGCTACGCGAACACACTAATGAGGATTTTTGCATTATCTCGTCGCCACGCGATCTCCCTCTCTCCTCGCGCGGCTTCTTCCCCGTCAGTAAAACGAAACGATGAACAGTAACATCGTATGGAGTATTTCAATTATGAATCGCAGTATTCGCCCGCTATCGATTGTTGATACCGTTGCTGTCGCTAGAACCACCGCTGCTTACTTCGAAACTTGCCACGTTAATTAGGTTCGTAAACGGGATTCTTTATGCCTTCGTTCTTCAAGTAATGATTGTTCCACTGATCGTGTAACAGCCACGGTCTATCTAACTAATTATGCATCAGTCTGCTCAAATGAGAGCGTATATATAGCCACGTGCTACCCTTGCGTATAGCATGTCTTACAATTATAGATTTGATGCATTTGTAGAAATAGTACATTGTGTACCTAGGGCGCAAAATAGGGCATTTTAGCACTGGCACGAGTTTGAATTTCGCCCGAGCTTCGCTTGGGCGACAAATTCACACGAGTGACAGAATGCCCTTTGCGCCCGTGGTGCACATACTAGTTTTTGACACGCCGGGCGAGAAATTCGATCATTGAAAATTGTACGTTCAGCTTAATTACAAAGAAGGGAGTCCAGGGGGCGAAGTCCCCTGGTGGGGGCTCGGGG